GCATCTGCCTTTGGCCCAGATCATGAACCCAGGGTCCTGGGATTGAGCCCCTCATAGGGCTCCGTGCTCGGCGGGGCGTCTGCTTCTCCCTCTCCCTCTGCCCCTTCCCTCCCCACCACTTGTGTTCTCTCTCTCTCAAAAAAAAAAAAAAGCCCAATGCAAATGTGAGGGAGAACAGACTGAAAAGCCAATGGCACTTGGAGACCTTGTGTCTACATGAGGCCACACAGACAAACATCCCACCCACATCTCACATCCACTATAAGACTCCATTTCCCTACAGCATGGTTGGGAGGTGGGGGAGGGATGACAGGATCCCGACTTTGTAGAAGGGGAAACTGAGTCCCTAAGAGGAGATGAAAGACGCCCTGTGGCCACCAGAGACCGCCAGGGGCAGCCTTGAAACTTGCTCTTCCCAGCACCCATTTTCATCCTGTCTGGATTTCAGCTTTGCACCCCCCAATTTTTTCCCAGTTCTTCCTGCCACCCCCAGAAAGTACAGGGAGAAAAATGCAGTTGACTCCCAATTATTTGGGGGCCAAACCTAAGTTTTGTGTCGGGTCCCCTTCCTTTCCCCGCCTGTCAGTTCACAGCTTGTCTCCATTAAGCCTCAAGCCTCATTTCTGCAAGCAACACGTGAGGACAGAAAAGACTCGCTAATTTCCTTCTGGAATGCATTATAATAACCAACGTGCTAAGTGAGAAAGGTATGCCCATGTCATAGACCTATGACATTTAAAGAGGCTTTAAAACACGTCCATGGAAGCCTTTGAGACTCCCCCCCTTTCAGAGATAAAGCCAAACTCCTCTCCTCTTGAGTGTGCGCTGAACCAAGTGCCTCACTTTTAATTAAAAGAATATGGCAAAGGAAACAGCATGTGACTTTCAAAACTGGGTCATCATAGGCACTGTGGCTTTTTCCTTGCTCTCTCTCTAACCATTTGTGGAGTGGTGGGGTGGGGGGAACCAGCTGCCATGTCACAAGGACGCTCAAGCAACCCTATGGAGAGGCCCATGTGGTGAAGAACAGAGAGCACACCATCTTGGAAATGGGCCCTCCAGCCCCAGTCAAGACTTCATGTAACTGCAGTCCAGGCCTAAGTCTTGAGACAAGCTCCAGAGCGACTCTGAGCCAGAAGTAGCCAGGTAAGCCACTCCCAGATTCCTGACCTACAGAAACTGGGAGGCAATTTTGTTGCTTTAAGCTGCCAAGGTTTGGTTTTTGTTTTGTTTTGTTTTTTAAGCTATAAAGTTTTAGGGTAATGTTATGCATCAATAAACAACTAATACAGAAGTACTCCCAAATAGTTGTCACTGTTTATCCGATTATAAGGAATTTTCCAAGACAAATAATTCTGGACAGCCAAAACATTCCTGCAGGATAGAGATGGAGAGAAGGCAACAGCAGAAGTGCCCAGGGTAGCTGATATTCATTCTCTTTTCCCTTTATCTTGCCTTTTTTTTTTTTTTAAGTAATCTCTACACCCAACACGGGGCTCGAACTCACTACCCCAAGATCAAGAGTCGCATGTTTCCCCAACTGAGTCAGCCAGGCGCCGCCCCCCCCATCTTGCTTTATGTTTCCTCCCAACACTTATCACCTCCTTAATTATGATTCACTTGTTTGCTTGCCCATCTCTTTTCCCCACGCGAACATAAGCCCCCTGAGCATGGGGACTTTGCTTTAGTCACCGTAACCTACCAACTACTCAGAATAGGGTGTTGCATTTATGGGCACTTAGTAAAGGCAGCAACAGATAACTAATACACTAATGTAACCTTTACAACTTTTGTCTCCCACAAAGTTACAGCTACCCCCTTGACAAATGTTAGCACCCCTAGCCTTAAGTATCTCAACCAAAACCCATTAAAATTCTGAACCCCTCGCCATGATCAAACTGCACAAATCCTGGAGCCAGAGAGAAAGCAATAATGGGTCTGTAACACTCCTCTCTTCCCTCCTGGAACCTCAATTCAGGTGGCCCACCAGCATGGAAGCTCTGACTTCTAGAAACAGTGTCATTTTAATTAAATTCCACAGAACCACTCTACGGTCCCAGAGGACTTCATCATTGTGGGATTTTTACCTTGCTGATTAACTGAAATCAGCATTCTTTTCAGCCAAACCAACGGACTATTTCCAAGGTGACAACTTCCTTCCTAACAAGGTTCAAATCCTATAACAAGTTCCAACGGCACTGACGGGGTTTGTAAATGTATTTGCCACACAATCCAACCAATGTGTTGAAGCATGTGGTTCTAGAAAATTGTATGTGAACCTTTTTTTCGTAATTAGATAAGAGTCTCAATGTAGTAACAGAATTAAACTATTTAGAGGAATTTTCCAGTAAAGCAAAGAATATACCAAACACCTGAAGGAGGCAAAGTAATTGAAATCGATGTCCCCCAGCGCTGTTTTACCTTCCTAGATACATGTCCCATTTGTCCCTAGCTCCCTCCTGCCCCATCATTTGCCCTCATAGAGATGAGGCACCACTCCACTCCCAGCTCCTACAATCCACACAGCAGCAGAACTTGCAGAAAGCAAATCTGAACACATCCCTCTCTGCTTAAAATCTCATGGAGACAGGCTCCTGGGTGGCTCAGTCAATTGAGCAACCGACTTGTGATTTCGCTCTGGTGGTGATCTCAGGGTCATGAGATCAAGCCCCGCATTAGGCTCCGTGCTCAGCAGGGAGTCTACTTGAGATTCTCTCTCTCCTCCCTCTGCCCCTCCTCCCCCCGCTCGAGCGTGCTCATCCTCTTTCTCAAATAAATAAATACATCTTAAAAAAAGGATCTCGGGGCGCCTGGGTGGCTCAGTCAGTTGAGCATCTGCCTTCGGCTCAGGTCATGATCCCGGGGTCCTGGGATCGAGCCCCGCATCGGGCTCCCTGCTCAGCGAGGATCTGGCTTCTCCCTCTCCCTCTCCTACTCCCCCTGCTTGTGCTCTCTCCCTCCCTTGCTTTCTCTGTCAAATAAATAAAATCTTAAAAAAAAAAAAAACTCACAGAGGTCTCCGACTGCTCTTAGGAGAAACACAGACCCTTCACTATGGCACATGGGGCCCTGATCAGCCTGGCTCGCCCACCATCCTGCACCCACTGCCCCCTCCCCTTGCTCTATTCCAGCCGCACTAACCTTCCTTCAGCAGGCCTACCTGTCGCCCCCCTCCCCGCGCTTCCTAACCATCCCACCAGGCTCTCCGCACGCAGCCAGGAAAGCTTCCCAGGGCTCTTCTCCTAAGTAACCCCTCTCTCTTCAGACCCCATCTTGGGGACACCCGCCCTGCCCTCCGTGACCACGAGTGCCCTGGCGCATGCTCCTCCAGCACCGTGGATCTCTGCTGTGTGGCCTTAACACGGCTGCAAATTTCCATTTGTTTCTCTGATTGTTGGATGAACGTCTGTCTCCTGAGGGACCGTAAGCTCTGATCTGGATTTCTCCTCACGGTGTGCCCGGTGCCCAGCACCAATCAGATGTTTAATACACATGCTGAATGAATGAATCAATCACCCAATCAACCAATGAGAGCTGTGATCTGCCCCTAACTAATCTTCTGAGTCCCACACTTTCTCCTTCAGCTCTTCCCTCATGAGTCCTTCAAAGCCCTTGGCACTTCAGCGCCCCCACCCCTCCCCACAGCCCTCCTGTCTTTATCTCCTCCATCCTTTAAAGCCCATGTCCGATGTCCCCTCCGAGAGGACTTCCCAATGCCACCAGCCAGGAAGGACTCCTCCTCTCCCTGTTCCCTCCCAGGAGCCTGTGTCCCTCTACCTGAGATGAGAGTTGCACCTCATCCCGTGTGTTTTAGGACACATTCTCCAGAAAGTAAGGGCTCCTAGTCTTGTTCATCTTTTACTTCCCCATCCCAGGGGCTCCGGAAATTTTGCTGCGATCGAACGGGAAAGGAACAGAACGGAAAACCCTCCCACCCTCCCCACCTTAAGCCCACTCTTTGTGTGTGATGTAGCCCAGATCCAACGGATGTAAGGAGCTTCAGCTTCAAGGGGAGGAAAAATGCCTGAGAAATAATTAAAGAAAGAGAGAGCTTGAAAGCAAAGCCTTGAGAAGCTCAGGGCCAGCACACTGGCCGCCCTTACACAGCCTGGCACCGAGTCTGCATTCACTCCGCGCTGAATGAAGGGTGGAGTGAATGAAAAGCTCACAGCCTTCAAGCTCCTGGGGGCACTCCTGGCAGCAGAGCTGAGCAGAGAGACGCTAATGGATTCGGAGCCAGCAGGGCCAACTCTTCTAGGAAGCCCAGAGCAGCAGTCCTGCCCGGGACAACCAGCATCTCCTTCCCGTTTCAGAGACGGAAACACAGATGGCCTGAGATGGCGAGAGCCCTAAGGTAGCCCCAAGGGTCCCAAGGGTCTGTTACTGAAATTCTAGAAAGTGGAGGGGATCCTAGGTGCCTCTGCCCAAGTTAAACAACGGGTCTCAGGACTTACTTGTCCACATGTAGTGATGTCCCTGCAATTAGACGCAGCCACCTTCCCAGCCCAGAGCCCACCTGCTGCGTGGAGACACCGTCTAAGGAGTGTTTGATGAGTAAGTAGCCCTTGCACTTTGTTTGGGAAAAGCCTTGGGTCTCCACAGCAAGGAGCAAAAGAACTCCAGACCCCCCTCCCCATCCCCCGGCAAAAGCAAAGTGTTCACAGTGAGCTGGTCTTTCTGAAGATGTCCGTTCCCAGGACGTGCTGTCCCTTGGCGGGAGGAGATAAAGGTAAGGCAAGCACGCACATGCACACAGAGATGGCCCCGTTATTCTTCCTCCCCCCTCCGATCACATCCCTTGGGGAGAGCCCGCAGGGAGGCCGAAGGCCCATCTGGATGGGGAAGGCAGAGCCCCAGCGTTCGGAGGCCACAAGATGCCAGGCTGCCCATGCCAAGGACCCCCATATCCCTCACATGCTGGCAGTGCCTGCAGGGCTGTGAGACACCCCTGCCCCGCGCCCCTGCCCGCCCAGCTCCCGCCACTAGCCAGCCAGGCTTACTTCTTCACTTTCGGGTATTTCATCTCGGCGATGGCATTCGTGGCTTCTGTCTGCTTCTCCTTCAGATGCTGGGGCCACATGTTGTCCACCCAATCCACCAGATCTACCTGAAAGCCAGACCACCGTCAGCACTTCCTGTCCGGGGGGTGCCCTTCTGCTGGGCCCCTCTCACCACCTGCCCTTCCCTGGGGCTGGCACGGGCTGGCCTCGAGCCTGGGCAGCAGGAGAAGCCGGGCGAGGAGGGGAGGGGGCAGGTGTCGGGGAGGGGGCCGCGGCCGGGGGCGCCCTACCACAGTCGGACGCTTGACCAGGTGCTCCAGCTTGGTGTGGCTGAACTCAAGACTGATGACATTGTACAGCTTGTCCCGCTGGGCCTCGGGCGTCTCGTAGTACCGCACAAACTGGGACATGCTCATCTCCGTGCCCTTCTGGGTGTTCACATCCATCACATCCACCAGCCGCCGGCTACCTAGGGGCAGAATCCACACGCTGGTGGCTCCTGGTGGCTCAGGAGCCAGACGCCACTTGGGATCCCCATCAACGAAACCCACCCCACCCGTATGCCACGTCTGCTCTATTACCTGGTCCCGTCGGTTTTCCTTACTGACTCTCTCTCCAATCCATCTGTTTCCCTCCACCACCATGGCCTCCACGCTGGGCCAGTCCAAGACGACCTTCAGAACTTCCTACAGGGTCCCCAGGCTCCCCCCGCCATCTATCCTCCACGGAGCTGCCTGCGTGAGCTTTCTAAAACAGAGACCTGACACGGACACTCCTCTCTCTGCTTCAAACCTTCAGTGTTCCCCACTGCCTACCGAAGATTCTCTTAGCATGGCCCTCAAGGCCTTTCTGTTTATTCACAGCAATAAGATAGCCCTTATTTCCACAGAAAATTAGCTGTTTGGTCATCTTCCTCCCTAGTCTGTGAGGCCAGGAAAATTGCTTGGGCTTCTCTGAACCTCTGTGTCTTCATGCACCCATCTCCTTTCAGAGGCTAGTTGTGAGGATTAAATCAGATGATGCTCACGGAACTCCATGGCCCAGTGTCTGGTGCATAAATGCATGGGTCCCCCCATTATTCCTTGGCACTAATCACAATTCCTAAACATGTTTGTCTCTTTTGTTGTCTTTCTTCCCTACTATTCTGTAACTGTCACCAGGGCAGAAGTCCTGTCTGTCTTGCTCACTGTTTCGCCCCAAGTATCTACACAGAGCCTGCCACAGAGTGGGAGCTCAGTACCTATTTACAGAACAAATAAATGATGAATGTTGGCTGTCCTGTACAGTATGTGACATAGGACTTCTCATATGAACGCCCACTGAACTAAAAGGAGTGATCTGCGTGCCTCCCACTGCTTCCCAGAGAGAAGGAAACCACCTTGGGACTGGGAGACAGGAATGTTCAGTGCTAGTCCTGGGACCACCAGCAACTAACGAAGCTTCAAGGTGCCCCCACACCTCGCTCTCTTTCTCTCTCTCAAAAGCAAAAACAAAACAAAAAACAAGCCTTCAAGGAAATCACAACCCTTCCGAGGACTCTTCTTCCCCATCTATCAGATGGGAATAATAGCTCCAGAACTTCAGCCAATGTAGAAGGAACAACCAAAGTTCAGTGGAAGGGCTGTGAAAGGGGAGAAGACAGACACAGAGCAGATTGCCAAATTCATGGTGATTTATGATGAAAGCTGCCATCTCCTGTCTGTCAGGACACAAAATAAGCATCATGACTGGGATGAGAAGCCTGCCATCTGGTAAGGAAAGACCTCAATTCCCCATTAGCTCAATGACAAATATATGGTCCATGGAAACTTAGAAATGTGTAAACCAGGGGTGCCTGGGTGGCTCAGTCGGGTAAGCGTCCGACTCTTGATCTCAGCTCAGGTCTTGGTCTCAGGTGCACGAGTTCAAGCCCCACATGGGGCTCCATGCTGGCTGGGCATGAAGCCTACTTAAAAAAAGAAGAAGAAAGTAGAAGAGATGTGAAAACCAGAGGAAAGAAAGAAAGAGAAGAACCAGAACCTTGTTCAAAGGTACTCCAAGAACAAAGAGCAAACTAAGCAAACAGGGGCCAGCAAATGACGGCCCTGTGGGCAAATCTGGCCCCCCCGCGCTGCCTGTTTTTGTACAGCCCATGAGCTTCGGATGCTTTTTACGTGTTGTTTTGTTTTATTTTTATTTGACAGGGAGAGCAAGAGAGCACAAGCAGGGGGAGCAGGAGAGGGAAAGGAAGAAGCAGGCTCCCCGCTGAGCAGAGAGCCCAACATGGGGCTCGATCCCAGGACCCTGACATCATTAAGCTGAAGGCAGATGCTTCACTGACTGAGCCACCCAGGCACCCTAGTTTTTATATTTTTAAGTGGTAGAGGATGGGGGGAAAAAATCAAAAGAAAACTACTTCGTGATATGAAAATGATACAAAACTCAAATCTCTGGGCCCACATATAAAGTTTTATTAGCACCCAGCCACATGCTGTTTCACACGCTGCTTTCACGCTACACCAGCTGAGCTGTGTGGCCAACAGGAGACTGAACGGCCGGCAAAGCCCAAAATACTTATTCTCTAGATCTTTACAGAGAAAGATTGCCAATCCTTGAACTAGACAAAATCCTCATGGAACTTACATGCTGATGTGAATAATATTCCCATCTGGTTCAGTGCTCTATACCCAGCTCTGTGCACAGAGCCTGCCCTGTAATAGGCCCTGGGTCAATATTTGTTGAATAAATACACAGTGCCTTTCACGTCACAGGAACTGAATAATAAAAGTAACCCTTTATGCACGTATGAGACCTTGGCTGTTACTAACTTTTGGACTAAATACCTAATTTTTACAACCACCCAGAAGCAAGGTAGGACTGTCCCTGTCTTAATAAATGGGGAAAACAATGCCCTAGAGATGATGGGATTGGCTCAAGTCCTCCAGAACATACTCTACCAATTAGAAGGGCTAATGTTTACAGAGCACAGGCAAGCTCTCTACGCAGGTTATCTTAAGCTAATTGTGGTTCTGTGAGACAGAACTTCACTTATACCCATTTGATGGATGAGAAACTGAGGCTTAGACAACTAACTAGACCCAAAATGCCCAGTGAATGAGTAACAGAACTAGAATTTGAAGCCAATTAAATCTAATCCACAGCCCAGGTTCCTATCCCCCCAACTCCTACCCCTGCCCAATGCAATACTGACTCTAGATCACATGCTCCGGTGGAAAAAAAGATCCCTGCCCTCACTGACTGGCTCCTGACCTCACAGATCCTGGGAAGACAGGGAACACAGCTTTGTTTTTTGTGTCAGGAGTGCAGATCCACCAGGGGGCATCCCTGAACTTTGTTGGAAATTCTGGCCTACTCTGGACAGCACTGGCTCCTTCCTAACCAGGGCTCCTGGAATAGGTGGGCTCTGCTCAGCTTTTCTGGGAAGCCCAATTGGCAGAGAACCTGCTATTACAGTGGGGGAGGGGAGAGGAGAACAGGCACCCAAACGCTCGCCCCTCTCTGACCAGCCTCCCACCTCCCCCTGCCTCTCCTCCCTAACCCTGCACAAGGTCCCATTTGCGAAGCCCCCTGTGGAAGGACTGCTGGACAGGTAGATGTGGGAATCACAGCCCTAGAGGCTCATGCAAGTCAGCACTGAAAACTGGAGCTCGGTCGCCCCTATCAACACAACAAAGTTAAGGTAAGACTTTATAGTTCAAATCCCAGCTGGGCCTCGGGCCTCTTAGCTTCTCTGAGTATCAGTTTCCCCATCAGTGACCTGGGGACAAAAATAGTAGCTAGCCCATGGGGTTGATCTAAGCCTTAAATGAGATCATGGTACATGAACCACTTCCATGAAGCACTTGCAGGCAGGTAGTGTTACCAAGTTGGCCGATTTCATCTATAATTACAGGTGGAGAAAGTGAAGCGGTAGAAACAAAGTCAAAGCCACTTAAATCTCTGCCGGCCAGTCCAATGGACTGACTACTTAAGATCCTAAAACATGAGGGGCACCTGGGTGGCTCAGTTGGTTGAGCGTCTGCCTTCGGCTCAGGTCATGATCCCGGGGTCCTGGAATAGAGCCCCACATCGGGCTCCATGTTCGGCAGGGAGCCTGCTTCTCCCTCTGCCTGCCTGCCTACTTGTGATCTCTCTGTGTTAAATAAATAAAATCTTAAAAAAAAAAAAAGATCCTAAAACATGATAAGGATGGCTAAATGGTTATGGATGTTTTATGGGTAGGGTGATGAAAATGTCCTAAAATTGACTGTGGCAATATTTGCCCAACTCTGTGGTCAGATGAAAAACCACTGAATCAAACATTTTAAATACTTGAATTATATGGTATAGGAATTATGTCTCAATAAAGATGTTATTAAACACAAAAACTCAGGCACTAAATGACCAACAAAGTTGGTTTTTCTAAAAGTAACTTCTTTCAAAAGTCTCAACTGGGGGTGCCTGGCTGGCTCAGGCAGCAGAGAGTGCAACTCTTGATCTTGGGGTCGTGAGTTCGAGCCCCACCTTGGGTGTAGAGATTACGTTAAAAAAAAAAGTTCTCCATCAACTTAAAAAACAAATACTAAGAAATGTAAATTATAATGAATTACTGTATTGTACACCTGAAGCTAATATAACACTGCATGTTAACTGGAATTAAAATAATAACTTTTAAAAAAATATACATTGGGACACCTGGGTGGCTCAGTCCGTAAAGCATCCGCCTTCAACTCAGGTCATGATCCCAGGGTCCTGGGATCGAGCCCCACATCGGGCTCTCTGCCCAGCGGGGAGCCTGCTCTTCTCCCTCTTCCTCTGCCACCACTCCCCCTGCTTGTGCTCTCTCTCTCTGACAAATAAATAAAATGTTACAAAATAAATAAATAAATGTAAAGTATTCAGCCATAAAAAAGAATGTAGTACCGATCCATGCTACAACACGGATGAAGCTCAAAAACATGATACTGAGTGAAAGAAGCCAGTCACCAATGATCACATGTTGCATGAAGCCATTTATGGGCCATGTCTGGAATAGGTAAATCCACAGAGACTGGAAGTAGATTAGTGGGTGCCAGGAGCTGGGGGACAGGAAAGAGGAGTCCTAATGTGGGAGGAGTTTCCTTTCAGGTGATGAGAATGTTTTTAGAACCAACAGAGAAGTAATAGTTGCCCAACACTGTGAAGGCACTAAATGCCACTGAATCATATAACTTAAAATAATTAATTTTATGTTATATGAATTTCACCTCAACAAATTATTTTTCTGGGGTGCCTGGGTGGCTCAGTCAATTAAGTATCCAACTCTTAATTTCAGCTCAGGTCATGATCTCACGTCAGGCTCCAAGCGCAGCAGGGGAGTCAGCTGGAGATTCTCTCTCTCCCTCCCCCCCGCCCTGTGCATGCTCTCTCTCTCTCTCAAATAAATATTTTTTAAGATTATTTATTTATTTATTTGAGAGACAGAGAGAGAATGAGAGAGACACGAGGGGG